ATTTTCATAACACTTTACTGCCCGAGCGGATTCTCACATATATGATCTCATACAGTGCTCACTATCGAGACGTGGATAACACTACTGGCTGGAATTCACCGGCCAGGAAAGCGAAGCTCGGTTCAGGGATTATTTTTTTTTCCCTCCCAAGCTGTACCCAGACATTCGGCTTGCACGTTTTCTGCCTGGCATTTGGCACCGTTCGAGTTCAGGCAGAAATAGAATTGTTAAAGGGGAGAAACGGGTTAGGGAAAAGGGGTGGGGGGAGAAAAATAATCATGGTACCTGCAGCTGTGTGCTGCAAAAAATGGCTGAATTATGCTTCTTTTTTATTTCCGCTCTGAAAAAAAAAAAGGAAAGAAAAATTTGTCCAACAATGTAAGTAAACTCAAAGATAGTCCAGGCACTGGCGTCTACCAAATGGGGGGCTCTGGGTGGGGGCCCTCGGGGGCAAGCCTCCCCGAAAGAGGCTTCAGAAGCCGTGGCCAGCCCGGGCCAGGGGCCGGGGCCGCGGCGGGGGCCGACGCGGGGACCCCCTCCCCCCGGGGCGCCCAGGCTGGGGCGGGTACGCACCTAAGGGTCCGTCCGATCCAGGCTCTAGTGGACGGCAGTCAGCATCAGGAACAAGCGCGCCGGCGGTGGGCGGGCGAGGCGCCGGGATGGCACTCGGCAGGGCTGGCTCCTTGGACCTCTAGCAGGGGCTGCTCCCGGGCCGGGCCGGGGCGCTCCGGTGGGGAGCGAGTCCGCGCGCCTGCGACCCCCTTGGAACCACTCCTGGGAAAGAAGACAGCACTGAGTCGCAAGTCGAGACGGGCGGGCTCGGCGTGGGGCGGTGCGGCGTTGAGGCTGGGCCCAACCTCGCCTAGCGGGGGGCCTAGCAGCGCCCGGCGAGGCTCGGGTGAGGGCCGACACGGGGCCGCGGGCAGGGAGAGGGTTGGGGGGCCGCGGGCAGCGGCAGAGGCACCGGCTGTGGCGGCGTCGACGACGGCGTCTCCAGGATTCTGCCCCGAAGCGCGCAGAGCCTCAGGATCACCCACGCCGGGGGTGGAGGAAGGCGGGA